TGAATTAGCGAAAAAAAACAGAAAAAAAAAATAAAAAGGAGAGAGAGAGAGAGAGAGAGAGAGAGAGAGAGAGAGAGAGAGAGAAAAGCTGAATTTGCCCAATTCATATACGGTGATTGTGATGATGATCATTTCGTATGATGATGGTCGATTGGTTTGGTCGACATTTTTCAATCTTCAAATGTTCATGTGGTTCGGAAAAATTCGTTAACTAAATTCAAAGAAGAGAAAAAACTAGATTTTTCTGTGTTTCTGTGTTTCACCGTTGTTTTTCTCAAAGTAAGTTTGTGCTGAGTGCTGGACATCACCTCGACAACAAGTCCTGAAGTGAAAAAACGAATTTCTGTGGTAGTAGGCCCAAATGGTCCATCAACAACAACAACAAATGAAAAATTGCAAACACACCACACACACGCACTCGAGAATAATTATGTGATGATGATCGAGTCAAAATCTTTGTTTTTGTTTTCCAAAATTTTCATCAATTTTTCATCACAGTGAAAATTGCGTGAATTTTCTGTGTTTTGTGCGAAATAATTCGTTACAGTTACCTGTGTGTGTGTGTGTGTGAATTGTCGTTTGTTCATTTTTCGCTTTCTGTTTGGTTTTTGATGTCAAATTTGATGAGCGAAATTTTGTTTTAATTATCATCATCCAACTATCAACCAAGATCTACGTGAATAATTAAATAATTAGATGAAAAAACAAAGAAACCAAAAGGACAATGATCTATTTTGGATGAACGAAATCTTTTGTTTTTTGCCTTTTGTATCATCGTCATTGTGGTCATCCTTTTTGGCAGAGGAAAAAAATTAATTTAAATTTTCTCCATTCAACTCATCATTGTGTCGTGTGAATTTACAGAAAAAACAAAACACAGAAGTTCAAATGATGACCTAATCAAATTGTGTTTGCAATTTCATTTTGTTTTTGAAAGAAAAACAAAAGTTTCAGCAAAAATGTGACCGCGAACTTATCGATTCAATTCGTTTCACCATCACATCATCAATCATCATTGCTGACTGACCTTTGGTCATTTTTTGAAACAAAACAAAAAATTTTAAATGAATTTTTGATCGAGCTTTTCGTTTTTTTTTTCAATTTGTCATCCGGATAAAGTATGTACATCGCAGATTTAATAGATTTTTTCTGTTGTCGATGCTTGGGTTTAAATTTGGATTTCCTATTTTATGGACTGACGAAATAGAAAATGTGAAAATGGAAATGGAAAAAAAATTGAAAAGAAAAGTCTGTTTTTATAATCAAAAAAAAAAAATCAATCGGAAATGTACAGGTAGTTTTTGATTAAAATAGACGAAAAAAAAGTACAAAAACCCAATTTGGGTTTTTTTTCCGGCAAAATGAGTACTTTTAATCGCTCATTCACTAAGCATCCACTTATTTAATCCCAAGGAAACTCACGAGGATTATCTTTTCCCTGTATTTCATTCGATGTTGTTGTTGTTGTTGCTGCTAATCAAATTAAAAAATGTCATAAGATTTTGTTGTTGTTTTTTTAAAAAAAGTTTTATTAACTTAAAAAAAACATATTTTTCTGGTTTCTTTGCTCTCTTGTCTATTTTTTTCTTGTCCAAGAACGTAATGACTATATGGATATGATGATGTGAAGAGAAGAAAAAAGAAAGGCAAAGTTGTTTTTCTATTTTTAGACCAAAAAAGAAAAAAAAAACGGTGGATCATTTTGAATAACTTTCCCTTGTTGTTTTGTTCATCAGATCAGATCTAATCTAATCTGATTTGATATGATGTTCATTTTTCTTGACTTTTACTTTTTTTTGACTTGACTTGACCAGCAAGACTTTCAAGCAAATCATTTTTAATCTCAAAATATTTACTAAAACGAAAGTTGCATTAAATTGCCATCGATTGATGAAAATTGATTGATTTTTTTTCGGATTTTTTGATTTTCGTTTTATTTTGGGAATCAAATGTCAATATAGATCAGTGCAAAAAGCTAAACAAACATTATTGATTTAGTATCGATCTGCCAATCAATCGATCAATTTTTCAGTAAATTCGGATTATACGAAGACAGAAAAAAAAGATGGAGAAAACAGAAATCAGTTTCACATGTTTGTTTTTCTCATTATTAATTTCCTGATTCATTTTTCACCTGTCCTGTCCACCTTTTTACCTGTCCTGTCCAGTTTGTATAAAGCTTAGGTGTGAAAATCATTCGTTCGTTTTGATTTCGGAAGATTTCAAAACGAAAAAAGATAAGCAAAAAATCTTCAAGCAAAAAAAACTTTTAGCACCTTTTTTTCTTGTTGTTTTTCTTTGACATCATCAAAGATATCCGACCAAAAAAACGGTATTATTAACCCCGCCATGGAAGGTCAATCTTTCGATTTTTGACCTTTTTTTCTTCAGAAAAAAAAATATTCAATGTTAACTTGATTATCGTGAATCATCATCTTCAGCATCACGAAGTTTTTGTTTTTTGCAAATTTCCAAATTTAGCAACTTTTGTTTGCTATTTTTCAAAGCGTAGGTGTTACGTGTGCGTGTTACAAGGTTTTTTCCTTTTCAAAATGGGCGCCAATCGCAAATTCAATATACGATTGATTTGTGAAAAACATCTGCCATTGGCGTGATGATCATCACTAAATTTGGTCATATTTTTCACTTGAGTTTTAATTTCTTTTAGTTTTCTTTGCATTAATTAATCATTAACTTTTTCTCGGCATTTTGATTCTAGAATCGGCAATGTAAACATTATTCCGTCACTGCCACTAAAGTTCTTCAGAAAGATTTTCATTTTACCTGACCGAAATAATGGAACCGGATTCACAAAAATCTGATCAACAACGATCATCGACATCATCATCGAATATGATGAGGTTTAAAATGTCAAATTCAAATTATCGTCATCAACAACAACAACATTATCATCAATATTTACAACGAAAACTGCCAATATTTTCGGTAAGTTTCCGAATGAAATTTGAAAGTCGAAAAAACACAAATCAAACAAAGAAAAATGTCAATTCATTCGTTCATCAATTAATTAATAATATTAATGATTTTTGTCCAAATTTGGTCGAAATAGTGCCAATGAATGAGTAAAAATAGTCAAGGATCAATAGCCATTTATGGACATTCGATTTTTTTCATGTTATTTGCCAAAAAATGACTAAGACTTTTTTACTGTTTAATCAGTTTTTTTGCAATGTCATCATTCTAACGAACAGGTGTTGAAATTTTGTTTTCTTCAAATCGATCGATCAAGGTCAATCGAAATAATCATATCGGAAATTCGGGTTATTTTAGAATTTTTTTTTTAATTGGGAATAAAAAAAAGAATCGATTGTATCGAGTCGAATCTAATCGATTGTATCGAATCGAATGTTTTCATCCTCATAATAATGACCTATTTTGACTCATAAAATGATTTACGGAAGCAAATTTTTTTATAAATTCATTTTACTAATTCTTTTCATTTGTTTTTTACAAAAATTCTAGCAAGTTGTGATTTATAAATCATCATCATTATTTACATTTTCATCATTCATCTGGTCATTATTATTATTAGCATCGATAGTATTATTATCATCATCGATTGTTTTTGCCAATTCAATTGTTGGTGTTCATGTTGAACATTTTCCAACATTATCATCATCAAAATTAAGCAATCCAAGTTCTATTGTTGATCAACAACTACATTCTAATGAAATACATGGGGGTATTGATGGTGTTGGTTCACCAGCTGTCAGTATTAAACCAGGTATGTAACCATAATTTTGTTTTTTGTTTACGATGTTTACACAAAAACGCACTGCCTCAAATTTCTCAACAATCATTTGCTGTTGATTACACAGAGATCAAACTTTTTTACGTTTTTTTATTGGAAAAATATGATTTTATTGCTTTTTTATTTTTTAGGATTTTCATAAGAAAGGATTATTAATTTGATGATTTATTATGTGTGTAATTAAAGTGATTATCAAAAAAAAACGTAAACAAGAGCAAAAAAATACCAACAGAGATAGAGAACAAGAATAATTTATTTCGAAAGAATTTTTATTCGTTTTTTTGCTTTTCTTTGAGATTTTTCATGATCAGAACCATAAAAAAATGATGGTATTTGTTGATGATGGTGAATTAGGAAAAAATCTCTTTTCAAAGAAACACGAACAGAAATTTTATGTGTCTAAAAGAATTAGAATAAACATTAACATCATACATTCGGCCATCCAGACACACAACAAACCAGGATGATCATAACCTTTTTTACCTTTGACCTCATAAATTATCTTATCTTTTCTTTTCCTTACTAATTTCATCACCATTATGGTGATGTTGAAAACAGCAACAACGAAAAACGAAAATGAACGCAGTAAATTACCATATTTGAGAGAATTTTCTTTAGGTAAAGAATTTTTGACATTTATAGGTGTGCAGTGTGTGTGTGTGTGTGGTAAAATAACATCAATGTTTTTTTTCTTTACCAATGACCTTTGTGGTGTTTGAAAATCTAGGATGTTTTATTTTCGTTTCGTTGTTTGGCAAAAAAAACGAATCGTTAATGTCTGATTTTCATGTCCATAAAAAAATTATGTGCTTTTTTTTCGTTTTTCGTTACGATTCTAAAATCGATGTAAAATAGTTTTAATGATGAGTTCGGGTTCATTTGCATTACGTAATGATTATGATGATGACCTTTGCAGGAAAAAAAACCCTAATCCGATTATCATGACCGTCATGGTTATTCTTTGATGATTTTTTGCCTGACTTTGTTTTTTTTTTTAATTTGATTTAATTTATCTTCGTTTTTCAAAACAGATTTATTCGGTCTAATAACCGAAATAAATGTTGAATGTAATTCAAATTCAATTAATATTGAATTGAATGCACCACATTTATTTAATGGTATGATTTATCCAAAAGGATTNTGATATTTGTGACGTTGGTGAATCAGGGAAAAATCTCTTTTCAAAGAAACACGAAAAATATTTTTTATGTGTCTAAAAGAATTAGAATAAACATTAACATCATCATAGCCATTCGGCCATCCAGACACACAACAAACCAGGATGATCATAACCTTTTTTACCTTTGACCTCATAAATTATCTTTTCTTTTTTCCTTTCTAATTTCATCACCATTATCGTGATGTTGATGTTGAAAACAACAACAAAAATGAACGAAAAAAAAATCGCAGTAAATTACCATATTCGAGAGAATTTTCTTTAGGTAAAGAATTTTTTTTGACATTTATAGGTGTGCAAAGTGTGTGTGGTAAAATAACATCAATGTTTTTTCTTTATCAATGACCTTTGTGGTGTTTGAAAATCTAGGATGTTTTTTATTTTCTTTTTGTTGTTTACAAAAAAAAAACGAATCGTTAATGTCTGATTTTCATGTCCATAAAAAAAGAAATTATGTGCTTTTTCCATTTCGTTACGATTTTCGATTCTAAAATCGATGTAAAATAGTATTAATGATGAGTTCGAGTTCATTTGCATTACGTAATGATCATGATGATGATGACCTTTGCAGGAAAAAAAACCCTAATACGATTATCATGACCGTCATGGTTATTCTTTGATGATGATTTTTGCCTGACTTTGTTTTTTTTAATTTGATTTAATTTTTCTTCGTTTTTGTCTTCGTTTTTACAGATTTATTCGGTCTAATAACCGAAATAAATGTTGAATGTAATTCAAATTCAATTAATATTGAATTGAATGCACCACATTTATTTAATGGTATGATTTATCCAAAAGGATTATCAAAAAATTCATCATGTATGCATGAATATTATGATGTAACAAATTTTAATTATACATTACCATTACGTGCTTGTAATACAATGTCAATGGATGTCGTAAGTTTTTTATTTTTGTTTTTGTTTAATTTGATTCAAATTAATTAAATTTAATTAAAATCAAAGGATGATGGAATCGAATATTTTAATACGGTTATCGTACAACCACATAGACGTTTAGTTACAAATCAAGGTCGTGGTTATCATATTCGTTGTCGTTATCAAACAAAAGATAAACGTATTACAAATGGATTTAATTTGACGTATGTCTTTTTCGCGGGTTTTTGTTTTTATCATTTTTTTATCATTTCATCCGTTAACCATAGATTATCACAAGAATCGAAAACTGAAACAACATCATTATATGGTCAAGCACCTGTACCAACATCATCGATGAAAATCTATCATCAAGGAACGCAAAAAGAAATTATTGCCGATAATGTTAAAATTGGTGATCGTTTAACATTATCAATATCGATTGAACAACAAGATATTTATGGTATGAAAATAACTAATTGTTTAGTACGTGATGGTCTTAATTGGGGTGAACAACCCTTAATCAATGATGAAGGGTTAGTTATTTTTATTGTAATTTGATTTTTGATTCAATTAATCAATCAATTAAATTTTTTTTTTCATTCAAAAAATCATTTTAGTTGTCCAGTTGATAAAGAAATAATGGGACCATTTGATTATTCAAAAAATCTAACACGTGCAACAGTATCATTTCATGCACATAAATTTCCATATACAAGTTCCGTTTATTATCAATGTAATGTACGTCTTTGTTTAAAAGATGAATTGGATGGCTGTGCTGATGTGGTAAGTGTCATTTGTTATCATTATCATCATCATTAATACTTAATTAATCAATCAATTTAGCCACCAAGTTGTGATCAAAATGGTCGTAATTATCGTAATATACCGGGACGACGACAACGTCGTGATACATACGATGCTGTTGTAATACCGGATATGAACCATCAACAATATCATCGTGCAATGGCACAACGTATGCGACAAATAAAAATGGATAAAGATTTAAGTACAGAAGTATATTCCGGTCTTTATGTTGATGAAAATGAAAATAATACCCCGGAATTGGATGATGAAGAAAGTGAAACATCAATAAATGGTGGCGATGGTAATGGTGATAGAAGACGTGGACGAAATAATCGTCATAATGATCCAAATGAATTTTGTATATCGATGCGTAAATTTGCAATCGGTGTTGCTTTAGCTAGTTTATTATTAATGTTAGCCGTATTATTATTAGTTATTTGTATATTACAACGACGAAGACGTCGTCATCAACATCAACATCATCAACGTCTTTATTCACCATCATCAGCAGCTGGTTCAACAATTGGTTCCGGTTCAGTATATTCATCCGGTCCATATACTAATCGTGCATATATTCGTGATTAATTGATTTTAATCAATCAATTAATCAATTTATTACCACCCACCAATTCAAGATAACAATTAACACAACATACACATACACACACTAAAAAAAATGCCAAATTCCCTTCAATGAAGGCAGCTAATTTGATTATTATTCATATAAAATTGGAACAAAAAAAATTCTCTCTCATTTTCTGTGATCATTCATTCATACATACCAATATATAGCATATGCAATCATTTTTTATGGATGTTATTAATTTCTCTCGATGCAATTGAATTCAATCTTGGGGTTTTTTAAATAAAGATGGCTGGGTTATTTTTATTATATAAAAAAATGAAATTATAATATGCATTTTGTAAAATAAAGTAATTAATATTAACAAAAAAATGTTTTTTTATGATGCAAATTTTTCAATGAAATTATTATCATTACAAACCAACTGAAAAAAAGAGGTTTCGGTTTTTTTTTCGTTTTGAAGATATTTAAATTTTGATCATTTTTCAAGCAATGTATCTGGCATTGGCCAATCTAATGTACCACGATCATTTAATGCATGATAAATACGTTGATGAATTTCATTTTGTATTCGATAATGATATATAAAAACCAATAATGTTGTTATAATCAATATAAATAATGATATTTTCATTAATAAAAATAATGTTTTTATTATTAAATATTCTTTATAACTTAACCAGATTGTTTGTTGTTGTTGTTGTTGTTGTTGCTGATCATTTTTTGATTTCGTATTTTCAACATTATTCACAGTAATCATCGTCGTCATCATATTTTAAAATGGTAAAAGTCGTTGTTTTTTCGGCTAAATCCAATATCTTTAAATGTTTGTTTTATATGTTAAAAACCTTATTATATAGAGATATTGAGATTTTAAAAAGAATTGTTTTTGTAATAAGAAACTGTTGATTAGGACAAACTTGAGATAGGATTAAGCAAATAATCATAATGTGTTAAATAGTTTCTTAGAAATAAAAATATAAAACGTTTCAATTATCGTTGTCAATAAAACATCTATCATTAATAACGCATGTCATTAATGGTGGAATTTTACATTGACACATTGCACATTTGATCTGAAATTCTGTCAAATTTTTCCTGATGTGTATACGACTTCCTAAACGATATTGTTGTCCATTCAACCAACAATGATATTTAGAATTTCCATTTGGTTTTTCATTAGCCATATAATCCGGATTGAGTAAATATTTTCGATACAAATAATCATTATTATTTTTGTCAACAATCATTGAAGTGGTAATATTTTGTTGCCATGGACAAATATAATCAACAGGACAACAACGATCTGGCTGATAAATTGGTAAACAATTCTGACGATAATAATAATCGATTGGACATGTTTGATCAACACATGATTCTGTTGAAGATTCTGGATCATATTCATTCCAATGTTCATTACAAACACAATGTTTACAACGATTTTCAATCAAATCAATTTGTTCACCATAACGATATGTACGATTTTGATAACGACATTTACTATGGCGATAATCATCCCATTTTAATTGATCAGGACAGATCTTGATGATTATCAACAACAACGGGAAAAAAACAAAATTAAAATTCAATTTTTAACTGATTCAAAATTTACCAACCTCAACACCACAACAACGATCATGTGAATAGGCAAAATAACAATTTGGACGACTTGGTCGAACACCGAATGCTAATTCAGGACAATCGATTATTTGTGAACAATCGATTCGTGTTTTTGATGATCGTTGATTTCGTATTCGTCCATCACTATTATTATTATTATCATTATTATTATTGATTCGAATAGAATAATCTTGACGACAACGACAAACACTACAAGGTTGATTCGGTATCGGTATTGATTGTCCAATTTCATATCGTTTACGATTATCAAGAATACAATAATTATCATCATCATCATCATCAAGAATTGTTCGTGCTGTTTTTGATTGTTTTCGATCAATTCCATTCGAATTGATTACTATAAAAAAAACAAAAATTTTGAGAAATTCAATTAGAAATTATTGAATATGAAAAATGAAAAATGATTACCATCATCCGGACAATTGAAACGTTTAGCACAATTACAATCACGACTGAAAATTGATCGACAATTTTTTATATAATAATGTTGAAGATAATGTTGTGGTACACATTCTTGTCGACAATCGCGAATCGGATATTCATTTGGTGATTTAGATGTTGGTCTTGGTCGATATGTGGTAGTGGTGGTGGTCGTCGTCGTGGTTGTTGATGATGATAATGGACGACGTGTCGATGTTTGTCTACGATCTAAATATTCCCATTCAATTTCACGTAATGAATTACGAAAATTTTCTAAACGTTCACGATTACGACGACGAATATTATCATCGTCATCAATATTACCATATCGATTTCGTTCATTTGTTTTATAAACATTGGAATCATCAATTTTGGCTGTTTTGATACGATCATTATCATCATTCACTTTTTTACCACCAATTTCAATACCAAATGATGCTAGATTTAATTTTGGTATCGATTTAATTATCTGTTGATCTAGATTTCGTTGTTGATCATCATTACGTCGATTAATTATCATTGAATCATTGAAAATCGATGATGATTGTGATTGACCAATGTCAATCATCATCAGGATTATCACCAGGAATATGATTTTGGCCATCATCATCATCATCAGTTGATTGAAAAGAAAACTTCGAACGAATGATCGAACAACAGATTTTATATGTGGCTGTTGCTCGTTCGATGATGCTTTCATTCACCAATGATGAATCATATCACTAAAATTAACCACTGGTCATCACTTTTACTTTTTTTTTGTGGCATGTGATGTGTGTGTTGTATAATCACAACAACAACAACAGCAACGTTGAACAAAAACCAGATTCATCATTGAAAAAATATTTGTAGAATGAATCGATTGAAAGGAAGAAAAGAAAACAACAACAACAAAAATTAATCAGAATCAAAATTCTTGCCCAAAAGGCAAATAGAAAATGATTGGCATCTCTTTTCTTGTTTCTTTTATAAGCAAAAAGAAAGATATCAATCGAAGATTACTGCTCATTTAGAGAGAAAAATTTCATCATTGTTTGCAATCTTTCTTTTATATTATCATGTCTTTCTTTTTAAAAAAAATGAGAAAGTTGAGAGTGAAAAAATAATTTATACACATGTTTTTTGATAGGTGGCGGTATAATATCGGATGATTAAAATCATCCGATATATCACCTTAGAAATCCATGCTCAAACGCAGAAGTCATCTTTTTTTGTGGATTTTTTTTCTGTAATTAATATGAATGTTTTTTTTGTTCGCAAAACAAGTATTATTTACAATAAAATTTTTTTTGGTGAAATTTTGTTGTTGGTTGTTATGGTTTAAAATGATCATTAATCTTAATTAATTGCTCATCAATCAGTTTAGTAGTTATTTTCTTGTGTTGGTTGATTGACAATTTTTTCTACGTAAACAGGTAAATTCTGGTGGTATACGACATTCACAATCAATACAATCGGCTGCTTGATGTTGTGATTGATAAATACGTGCACCGACAGGATATTTTCGGCCTTCAAAATGACATAATTTCGAACCATAATCAATTCCACGTACTCGTAATGCCATCTGTCGTGTACGAGCTAAAATAGAAAAAATGGTCATCTTTAATTTTTATTCAACAGAAAATGATTGAGAAAAAAAAACTTACGACAAATAAAATCTACTGGACAACATTTATCAGTATCATAAACAGGTATACAACCACGACGAAATCTTGGATCCAGATCCAGTATGCAGGATTTTCTTCGACATGAAATTTGATCAGCGCTTAATAATTCAGAAAGTTGATCGGGATTCATTTCAATAGCCGAATTATTCCAATTTTCCGTACAAATACAACGCATACAGGCAATAGTTTCAGCTAATTTTCTTTGTCGATCATCATTATTATCATATTCGATACGATTTTCATCAATATCCAATTGATCGGATTCGGATAGATTTGCAATTTTTTGTTGATGAACAATAATATCCGATAAATGAATTTTTTCACCAAGTTGATATTCTTTACCAACAAAACGACATGTTTTTCTTGGTCTCAATGTACGACCAGTACGTGAATTTATTGGTATACATTCTTGTCGCGGACAACATTGATCATGTTGATAATAATCATAACAATATAATGATAGCGATGATAATACTGATGACATTGATTGTGGTTCACTATTTGATTGTCTTCGTGATGGACGACGACGATATCTTTGTATCGATTGTGGACCACCACCATTATTACCAATCAACATGATTGGTGTAAAATAGCCTTGATTATTTGAATTCATTTTTGTATCATCATTTGATGTTGGACATTCAATTTTACTTGGACAATCAACATCAATTGTACCATCGGACATAAATGAACAAACACAAATTCGACAAGCATTATCAGTTGGAACAATTTGACCAATCGTATAATGATTACCATTATAATGACATTTTGTATAATAATCTAATTTTGTTTCAAATGAACGTCCATAAATTTCTTGATTTGAATCATTATTATGAATTGTTGAATCCATAAAACGTATATTACGAATATTATTTGATTTATTATTTTTACCAACATCATTATTATTATTATTATTACAATTAAAACGTGATGGACATGAACAACCACCAGGTATTATTGGACGACATTTACGTACTCGATAATGTTGTATAAGACGTTCATCCAAACAAGATGGACATGGTGAATAATTTAATGAACGATGTGGATGATTATGGCCATGAATACTTTGACCAAATGACCAATCGATGATAATGATGATCAATATAATCGATAATTTTATCATTGTTTTTGATGATGATGATGATGATAAATGCAACGAAACAAAACAAAAGAAGAAAAAAACTCAGCAAAATAAAACAATGTTTATGCTAAACATCACTCACTTTAGTCAAGTAGATATACCAAATGACAAACTTTGAAAACTTGAGAAGAATCATCAACGATGAAATCTTGAATGAAAATGTTTTTGAAGATTCTTCAAACTCCACCTTTGATGATATTGGTATCCACCCATAGGACCTTGAGAAGAAGAAAAACAATTTCATAGATATTTTCTTTTTCTTCGTAATTTTTCTTTCTTACTTACCTGATTTTGACATACAATGATGATGATTATTAGCGGCAAATATCAATAGACAACAGCAACAGCAATAATTTGATGGCCAATGAATTTCAAAGTCATCATCAAACATCATCATAAATTGTTATTATCCCGGATAAAGATAGACAGGTAAAGAAGAAGACGAAAGAAATCTATAGCCAGCCATAATGATCATCATTATTGAATGTGATGTTCATCGAATGATTTCGAATGTTGTTGTTGTTGATGATGATGGCCACCTGATGTTTCGCATCGAGAAAAAAAAATACTTTATATTTATGGTGACGGTGGTGTTAGATTTGGCACCCAGGAAAAGAAATGAATAATTTTCATTTTTTATTTCTTCAGTTTTTTCGTTCGTTCGTTAGTTTGCTTCCCGAATTCCATTCTCATGCAAGAAAAATTTGTATACAATGTGTACAAATGTATGAACAACAACAACAATTTTGACAGGTCGAATAGACAGAGATAAAAACACTAAAATTATTTGCTAAAATAATAAATATGATCAGATGGCAACAACAACAACAAAAAGAAACAGAAAAAATTATGAAGAAATTCACGAGAAAAATAAAAAATGAACAAATGAAAATCGAAGAAGAAGAAAAAAAATGAATAATTTATCGAAAGATATTCCGGATGCCAATGTCCGTTCAAAAATCGTCATCGGGTATTTAGAGTCGATGACATTGCCCGAAAAAAAACTCAATGATGTGTGTACATTGGTGAAAAACATTTTTCTTCGATATATGATAAAATAATCGATAATCTTGTATGGAATGTATCCGATTTAGAATTGACATTCAAGTCAATCTTATGATGATGTTGTTTTTTTTTTCATTCTCTCTGTCGGTTTATTCAATTTTTTTTGTGATGTTTATTCGCGAGGAAAGACGAAAACGAACAAGAAGAAAAACAGATAAAGTTTGTTGTTTTTGTTGTTGTTGTTTCCATTTTTGTTTTTTGCTGTTTTTCGGTTCCGGTTGACATTTACAAACAGAATTCCAACAGAATCGAATGTACAAAAAAAAATGCTCAACAAAATTAGAATCAATTTCAACCTTAATGGTAAAGAAAATGTCGAAATAGTTGAAAATGGAAAAACGGTATAAAATTATTTTCTCGAAAATAAAAAAAAACATTTCATCATTTTTTTTTCTCTCAATTCTTATTTTCATTTGATTCATTGTTAATTCATTATCAACATTTACTTTCGAAATAATTCATTATCAACAGCAGCAGCAGCTCAAAACGAATCCTCATGATGATTGTTTCAGAGATTTGAGATTCAATTTGACAATTTTTTTTATTTCATTTTTCATAAATGAATTATCCATTATAAATTAGATAACGATGACAATGATGATGATCATTATGGAACATTAATTTCCAGTATCAACAAGATAAAAAGAGACCGAAAACATTTTTCTAATCTTTTTTTTTTGGAGTTTCCTCACACACACACACACTGGAGAAATCAAGAACAAATTACCGTAAGGGAAAAGAAGAAGAATGGTAAAGGAAAATGATGATGGGCATTTGATTCCATGATGTGACATTCAACCGAAAACGAAACAACAAACAGCAAGAATAATAACCGAACAACAACAACAAAAACCCATGTTGAAATTGAAAGTTTTTTGTTTTTGCACCAAAAAAACGACAACAAAAGTGAAATGCAAAAAACTTTTTTTGTTTGTTCCAGAAATTTTAATAATAATTTTTCTTTCAAAAAACAAAAGAAGGAACCAAGAAGAAAAAAATGAAAATGGAAAATTGCTCGCTTTGTTGTTTTGAAATCCAGAATCGTTCGCTGTTCGTTGTTGTTTTAAATATTCTCCGGTATTACATTTTCATTTCTGTTTCATTTTCTAACTTTTTAACTTTTTACTTTTGTCAGATTACCAGATGAGCAAGCAAGTAATGATATGTCTGTGATGATTGGTTGAATGGCTGGCTGGCTGTTTGAAACTGAAGAAAATAGTGTCGCCCTTTTAAAAAAGATTGCCAACAATCCATTTAGAAATATGAAGAGAAATGGATTTCTCAACAGAAGAATAAAGTTACGACAAATTACTATGATGATGATGGCAATGATGACAAACAAAAAAGTCATTTTTAAAGCTTTCGAGTAAAATGATAGATTTGGACAAAACAAAAATGCGAAACACAAAATATGCAAAACAAAAATTACGGATTTTCGAAACAAACGAAAATTCCATTCATTCATTTATCATCGAAATGGCTATTTATCTCGTTTTTTTTATTATCATTTTTCATTGGAATATTCTTTAAGAATATTTTCTTTGGAAAAATGAGACCAAGAAAATCATCCTTACCGAATGATGATTTTTGATAAGCTTGGAATGTTGTTGTTGTTCGATAAGAAGAAAAAACTTTTACGAAACAACAGAAAAATTATCCGATTGAATATGATCAAATTACAATGATAATTTAGTTGGCAAATTCTTCAGAAAAAAATTCAAAATCTTTTCAATCATTTCATTCAGTAAATTTTGTTGAAAATCTCCATAAAAAGCTTATGTTTCGTCTGTGTTAAATTATCCAATGATGGAAGAATTTTCCTGAAGAAAACTTGAATAATTTTCAAGTTGATTTATTTCAATGTCAAAAAAACGATTAAAATTTACCCAAAAACAACGCATTATAACGAATCAATAATATTTCAATCAAAAATATTAATAAACTTTTTAGCATAAAAATTATATAAAAAACGAATAAACTTTCTAAATGTTTAATGGTTAATTTGGGAAATATTTTCACTGGAACAATATCGTTGATTGATTCTTGTTTGTTATCTTCAGTTGTGTTATCAGTATCATTATTTGGATTAATATTGAATCGGCGATTAATACGAGCTTTTCTTAATTCAATATCTTTCCATCGATTTATAATTCCTGTACAGATAAGTTGACCTATACTGTGAAAATAGAAAAACATTAGAAAAAAAACATTCGATTAGATCACAATGTAGAAATAGCCAAAAAACAACTAACATTCGATCGAATTGTCTACGAAATGGAAATTGTTTCGATGTTGCAATAATCAAATTGATAATATAAAATGTTGCTTCACCAACATCCGTTGGTACATATAATAAATGTTTACCAAATAATTGTTGACGATATAATAATCGATCATATGGATAAATTATAGCATATTTTTCTTCTTGTTTTTGCTGTTGTTGTTGTTGATTGAAAAACATACGAAAACCAACATCACTATTTTTAACAAATTTCATTCGAATCGATATTTCATGTATTGATCGTATATTTGATCGCTTGATGGGAAAAAAACAAGAAAGAAAGAATCATTATTCATTATCAGGGAATAGCATTTCAGCAAAAAAAAAATACCAACATATAATGATGTATAAACTTCCGTACTTTGAAAACCCAATACAATAATATGATTTTGTTTACTTGCAATTGCTAATTTATCGATTGTATCGATTGTTAAACTAATCGGTATGGTTAATATTGAATAAAGAAAACCACCATATAAATTTGATATGATCATTGTTGCAAATATCCATAAAATGACAATAATTTTCATTGAAATTGATAAATTTTTTAACAATGAATATGGTTGACGTAATAAATAGGTAAGATTTATCCATAATAAACTATCATGTTGATGTTGTTGTTGTTGTTGATGATAAAATTGTTTAAATAGATTATCATATAGAAAAAATATAACCATAATCATTGATAAACAAAACCAAACTGTCCATTCAAATGGTCGTAATAGAATTAAATAATCAATATAATTTTCTATTGGTGGTGGTGTCGCAAAACTAAGATGATCAACCCAATGTGGATAAAGAAAATTTATGGCTAATGATCGATCATAACTAAGTAATATACCGCCAATAGCTAAATCAAATTCCTTTTGGAAAATTGGAAAAAAAACACATCAGATTCATTTCATTTTTATTTAGATTAATTTTTTGGCTTACATTATTCATAACTTTTCCAATAATACCGGTCCAATTTGAACTATTCGTTGATAATGAACCATAAACACCATGACAATTAATGAATTTTATTTGAAAATTAAAATAATCCGATAATGTTTGCAATAATTGTACTTCAATACCATCGAATGTTTGTCGTTGATCATCGATACCGGTAAATGGTAAATCCTAGTTTGATTTCCAAACAGAAACGAATCATAAATGAATAAAATTCAATTTTTTACCAAAAAACAAACTTACATTATTATATCCGATATGAAAGATTCGGTTACTTAAATTCAATTTCATTTCTTTCTTTTTTGTTGAATTTCTTTCATCAATGACATTCAATCAACTAAACGATACGGTTATCATACGGTTGATTTTAACACTTTGTTAAAAAATAAAAATCATTGTCATTAACGGGTTTAATAATGAATAGTTTTTCATTTTTCATCCCAGGAAAAATTGTTTCCATAGTAAATGTCATAGGGATTTCCATAAATAAACACAACAGTGATTTTTTTGCACTCAATGAATTCAATTCTGTTGTTCAGTTGATGAAAAAAAAGCGAAATTCCCATATGATAATGATAAAATCAATTCTTCGTGGAAAATTTTTTTGTTGTTTCGTTATAAAAAAAGAAAATAATTATCCGGAAATTAGGGCCGAAAAACGAATCAAAACAAAGCAAAACAATCGAAATTTTTTTCCTACTCGATTACAATCGATATGATTCGTCCATCACATCACACCATATTGTTCGAATTTTGGCATTCGAAATTCTTTCTGAAAAACAAAAAATTTCTTTTTTTCTTTCCCTTTTCGTTTTGTTGTTGCATCATTATTATCATTGTCAACGACCATTATATCATCACATTTGTGATTCTAATCATAATCATCATCATCAAGAGGAGCTACAGCAGCAGCAGCTAAATGTGAAAATTATTTGTTTCATTTTCCAATTATAATGAATTCTGAATTGAAGAATTGAAGAAAAAGAAAGAAAAATTTCGTCCGTATTCATATTCGTAGACATTCAAATGTGAGAAAAGTTAACAGATTTTCCACTGATGATGATGATGATGATGATAAATTTTCCATTTACATATTTTTCCACGATAGAAAATCATCATTATTATTGTAAATTTCGTTTATGGCGTGGTTGTTATCATCATCATCATCCTAAACAATTTGACGATGCAATATTATCGACCGACCGTAACAAATGTGATAACGATTTTTACATTTTATTAGTTTTCTCTCTCTCTCTCTCTCTCGATAAATTGTCATCATCATCATTTCAATACAAATTCCGTATTCATCATTGGTTATTCAAAAAAAGAAGAAAATTCCTCATATCTAAATATATACCAAGGAAAAAAGAAAAAATTCTGGTTATCTCCTGTCAAATCGTTTTTTATTTTTTCTTCAGAAATCATTAGTTTTTGAAAGCCATAATCATCAATGAATCCGATTACAATGATTAACATATCGGATATTTGTTGATAATGATCTGATAATGATTGATAATGATGATTCAAACAGCAAATAACAAAAAAAAAAAAATTACAAATTTCACTGATCATCAATGTCGAAATTCACAATTCGAATGAAAATGTCCACATCACCAAACGAGAAACAAAAATGAATGAATGAAACCAAGAATCAAATGCGAAAATTATTTTTAGTTTTTTTTGTTGTTGTTAACGTTACCCTCACCATCATCATCATCATCATCATCATTATCATTCAATTAAATGTATTCAATGGAAACATACACATATACATTACATTACCAGAATCTATTATATTCATAGATTCTATTTTGGTTGTTGTTGTTTGATTATAATCTTTGTGTCCTGTAATCAACCAAATACAATCTACATTTGATATATTTTTCTCGTCTCTTCTTCGTCTTCTTTTCTTCATTGAATGCTTCTATTCTGCAGCAAAAACAACAACAACAACAAAAGAAGAAAAGAAAAGAAAAGTTCATTTTCAAACATTTGGAAAATGTTATTCATTTTTGTCATTGTTATTCAATGTGTGGTCAGTATGGAATATAGATTGCACGCATATACCTGTGCATGATATTCATTAATTTTTCATTTATTCATTAATTTTTTTCTCTATTCTTATTTCAGAAATATATCCAAACGAAACAACAACAACAACAATAACAAAATTTCACATAAATAATGATCAGATCTGGTTCTCAGTACGATTCTAACGAATATCAATTTCATTTTCAAATGAAAAATCGAATCTGTTTCTACCTGGTTTCTACAGGTTTTCCTTTCTCCCTCTTCATTATTTTACCTGAATATAAATTGGAAACTAAAATATCAATATTCGATTATCAATCAAAAAAATGTTACTGAGTTCTTCTTTTGAAATCTGAATATTTTCAAAAATTTTGGTTAACGATAATGATGATGATGATGATGAAATTTTGTTTTCTAATTTTTTTCATTGAAATTCAGTCGGGAAAATCAAACAAAACAACACAAAATCATCATCATCAAAAAAACCATCAAAATAAATGAAAAGCTGGAAAAAAAACAAGCTTGATGATTGCCATCAATATTTTATATGGCTATGAATGTTTTTTCGGATTGGTTTCCGTTTTTTTTTCGAAAATCATAATTTCATTCAAAGTTTCTCTTCCTTCACTGATTGGATATTACAATGATAATCCCGACGAAATGAAACCCGAAATTTTTTTTTGGAAAAATTTCCGAATGATTCTTCTTGTGTAGGTTTGATCAAATTGAATTATTTATTTCTTTGAACAAGAATGGAAAAAATTATTCAAAAATTTGATTCCAAAAAATTCAACAAGAAAATTTTGATAATAAAAATTCACGCGAACGGAAAAAAGAAGAAGAACTGAATGAATGGAGAAACCAAACATAAGTAATCATTTCATTTCATGTTTTTTTACCATTACATTGTTAATCAGAAGAAAGAAAAAAAAAGAAAAAACTTTGAAGAAAAAGCTACGATGAAAGAATATTCTGTTAAAGTTTTTCCTTTTTTTCTATTTTTATGATTATTCTTCCCTTCAAGCCATATTTTTTTGCAATATTATAGTGTCTTATCGTTTTTCTCTTTTGCTTTCATTTCATCATCATATGAACGAAGATTTTTCTCATTCAAAAATTTTCAACCCTGATGTTTTGTGGTTTTTTGAGAATTTTATGACTGGTTTGGTTAGGGTGATTGAATGGATGCGACAGGCAAAATGAAACGAAGAAAAACTTTGACAGACAAAATTCAAATTCAAAGTAAGTAGGAAAAAAAACATTAAATTAAATTTTCTTCTTTTTTTTCATTGTAAAGATTGTGTAATTCTACTTTTGGGAATTTTTTCCCGAGAAAAAAATAAAGCAACCAGAAAAATTCATTGATCCTTTCCTGATCGATCGATTCTTCTTCGTTTTTTTTCTCACTATTTTTAATCATTTTTATTTCACTATTTTTTGATTTGAATTGAATTTAGGAGACTCCACAATCCGAATTTTGCAAATCCCAATCCCCACTGTTCAACCAGATTTGTCTTTTTTTAACACTTGGATTCAATCAATAAAATTTACAAAATGTTGCAGAAAAAAAGAAATATTTCCAGGATTTTTTATTCAATGATGATGATTATTTCGGGAAATTTTCCCTACCACAAGCAAACGGTAAATCCATTTACAAAAAACAGAAAAATCTAGTTTCAAAATTGATTTGGTTTGTAAATGAAATAATCATTATCCACTAACACACACAGAATGGAAAAAAAGTCGGTGTTTTATCTGTAGAATATATCCGGAATGTATGAAAACATCTTTACGGAAACATTTTTTTCGTTTGCCGTTTCGTTGGAAATGATAAAAACATTTCTCTCTCTCTTGGGACATAATATTTTTTTTAATATTTTTGTCTAATTTGTTTGTTTTATTCAGCACAAGTAATAACATGGTTGTTATCAAAATGGGGAAATTTTACCGGAAATAAAAATATTCATTTTTTTTTGTTGCCGGGAAAATTTCTTCTCTTTTTTTTCACTTCCAAATCTTATCAAATACAAGATACTATTTTTTAGCAAATATTTTTTTATGATTATCATCATCATCATGAGGATGATGATGAATTGATCCCAGAGGAAAATTTTTTTATATTATTATTTTCATGTTTGTTAAGTTCGTTTGCCTGTTGTTGTTGTTGCCAGTTGTTAAGCAATTCCAAAAATTTCCCGAAAAATTTCTTCATTGTTATTTTCTTGATCAACTTTATTGTGGATCATTGGGGAATATTCCAGATATTTGATTTTTTTCCAATTGGAAATTCTTCTTCCAATTTTGTATGCGTGTCTGCGTGGAGTGTATTGACTTTTGATTTGCGAATTTTAATCGATTGAATTATGATAATCGACTGTCAACAGAACCCAAATCAAACCAGACAGAGAAAACAGCAACATCAACATCATCTGTTCTGATTTGTTGGTTTTGATGAATTTATCCAGAATATTCTTTACTTTTCTTGAAAATTTAAATAAATTTTTTTCCCCTGATAGAAAAATTTACTGAACAAAAATAACAAAATCTTGTAAACAATTTTACAAATTTGTAAAAAAAAATATTCTCTATTTTTGGATAAACGATATTTATTTTTACAAGAATCGTTATATATAACGAAAACGTTGTTCACGGTTACCAACTACTACCGCTACCTAATTCTTTTGCTTTTTCGATTACCACTTCCAAAATCATCATCATCTATAGTTGCTGATGTGCATGATGATACAGAATTTTTTTTTTGGATTCGTTTTCATTTTCGTTTTTGCTTTTCATTTGGCAAATATCATCATCATCGTCATCATCATCATCGTTATCGTAAAACGATCAATTCGAACCAAATAACGAAAACATCGAAAATATCGAAACATAAAAAGGTGTTTTTTTTTTGTTCGTTTCAAATTGAACATCTTTTTTTTTACTTTCAACATTCAGTGTTTGAAAAATTTTCAAAGAATTTTTCCAGAAGGAATTTTCTCCATCTCAATCAATCTTTCTTCCAAAATAAAAACATGAAAAATTGATCAAAAATTCAATAAATAAAAAACACCTTGTATCCATCTCTCTCTCTCTCTCTCTCGTTGGTGTGTTTTGTGCATATTTTTGATCGATTAGCATCATCATTTTCTTACGTTATTTTTTGCATAAAATTGTTTTTGACGCATCGTTCAGTGCATACGTGTGGGTGTTTTGTTTGTTTCTTAGTTCTGTGTTATTTTCGATAGACAGCCAAACAAACACAAAATTATTGATTGATTAATTGATCAAAAATTTATTCATCCATAAACAAAACAGAACAGAAAACAAACAATTTTTGCTTGGGTTTATTCTTGAAAAATTGTTTTTTGCCCCCTCACAAAAAAAGGTAAGTTTTTTGAATTGTTTTCTGTTGTTGAACAAAAATGATTTTCAACCAATCAATCAATCGATAATTTCCCCCCTCAAAAAAAACAAAACAGTTCAATTCAACAGACACAAAAAAAACTTTCCAGACAAAATCCGTTATTGCTTTCTCCCTGGAAAATTTCCCAAAAAATACATTCAAAATGACAAAGACAATTCTTTTCGCAAAAAAATTCTTAAGATTTTAATCTTTTTTTATTCTCACTAATCTTTTGTTTTAAAACCATCATCATTATTATTTTTAATAATTAACTTCTGTTAAAATCCAACCAAAATTCATCTTAATGAATAGTGAAGAAAGACATCTTTCTTTTGCTTTGCTGTCTTACCCATATTGATATGTCAAGAATTCTATTGTCTTTTTTTTTGGCTTAGATGAAGACGAGATGAAAACATAGTCGATAAATTCAACTTGAACATCCATATCATATTCATTCATTCATTCATTCATTCATTTTTCATTCATTGTTATTGGTTAATGAAGCTAGAAAAAAAAAATTTCCATTTCTTTCTCTTTTTGTCTCAAAATAACGATTTTTTGAATAAAGGAAAGAAAAGAAAGTTTCTTTTGTTTTCCGAAAATATTTCCTTTGCGAAATATTTCTTTTTTTTTCTTGTTTGATGAATGAATTTGTTAAGTGAATTTGAAATTTGTTTCATCCAGAAAAAATTTACTTAACATGATTATGATGTGTAGATTCCTTTCCCCCCTCACAGTGTTCTACTTTCTGTGTTAAAAAAAATATATGAAAATGATTGATGGGGGTTGAAAAATGGTGCACAAATAAATAATACTCCCGGTTTGATTCAGGACGGTCGAAAGCAGAAAATTGAAAATTTTTGAAAATTTTTGAAAGTTTTCCTCAAATCACATTTTCCAAAAATGATAAACATGATTTTGATTTTGTTTTTGTTGTTTTTTCAAATGTTTTTTTCCCTCCCCCCACTCTCCAATTCCTAGGAATCATATAATTTTCATATATGTACATGTCAAAATCGATTTATCACAGAATCTCTGTGAATATAACTGATGATTTTTGGATGATAAAATCATAATCATATCAAATTCAAATTGTATGTTTGTTTGTTTCTTTCTGGGAAAACTCTGTGTTAAAACTTTTTTTTTCAATAGATGTTTTTTCTTTTCAATCATCTGACTTTGCCCACCCACCTACACATCTTATTGAAACATCTTCTATTTTAACCCTCCTTTATTCAAAAGTTTTATTAATATGACAAAACAGGTTGAACATTTTTCTTCTTCGTGATGTTTCCAAAAAATTCACTTGAAAATATTTGGATATTTCGATCCAAGAGCGAAGAGAAAATGAAAAAAAATTAATTTTATTCCAAACAATTTCATTTTCTCTATTCAGGTTTTATTCACCACCATGTTTCAAACACGAAACTATATTTGCATCACGTTTCATTTTCCATTGAATTTCATCAAGTTTTCTTTTTTCTTTTTGCCCACTTCAACTTGGCCAAGTTTTTATTTGTTTTTCTTGTTCTTGGTTTTTCTGGTATACCAAATATATGTGTCACACCGACGATTGTCATCAAAGAAGGGAAAATGAGAAAAATTTCTCTTGTCTAAAATTGATAAATTTGAATAATAAAAACATTTCAAAAAATAATAATAATGTCATCAGAATATATTCTTTGCGTGTGTGTCTGATGTGTGTGTGGAAATAGTCGCCCGAAAAAAATAACTAACTATTTTGTCTCCTGTCAATCATTTTCTTGGTTAATTTTCTTTTTTCGTTGAAACCATTAAAAATGACGTTTCGGTTTTGTTTTTTTTTTCTGGCTGATGTTTCATTATTAATATCTCTCTCTCTTAACACTCGTTCACTCTTTTTTCCAACTGGAAAGGTTATTTCTTGGAATTTTCTTCCTTGGAATTTTGTTTTTGTTTTTCTCTGAGTTCCTTTGAATGAACTTTTCTTATTTTTTTTCCAGTACACACGGTACACCAGCTTATTATTGGTTTCCAATAGAGATAGATAGATAGTAAGAAACAAAAGAAGAAAAAGAAAAAAGAATCTTTCATTTCCTTACTGTATTTTCTTCTTTTTTTTTCTTTTCAAATTTTTGTGAATGAAAACAAAATTTGAAAAGTAAATTAATAATAAATTAAGATTCAACCAACCATATGATATTTTGATGAGAGAATGAAAAATTCAATTACTTTTTTTTTCTTGGGTGCATCTTTTTATCCAATCAAAAAAAAAAAAAAAGTATAATTTAATAATGATGATGATGATGATTTTGTAATGGAATTCGTTTTTTTTCATTTGATTTTGATTTTGATTTCATTAGAAAAAAAAATTTATCAATGATAACGACGGTGTTAATGAAATTTTCCAAATCTCTCTCTCTCTCTCTCTCTCTCTCTCTCTCTCTCTCTCTCTCTCAATATGTCACACCGATCGATTGGATGAGGATTTTGGATGAAAACAAAAATAAATGTCACGTTTTTTTTGTTGTTGTTTCTCTTTTATTTTGATACATTGCATCAACAACAGAAGAAGAAATTTGTTATTGTTAAAAATCCCAGATAAAAATAAAATTAATCTCATTAAACATTGAAACAACAACAAAAACAGATTTTGATGTTGCTGTTGTCGTTGATTAGCCAAAATCAACGAATAAAGTCTTGCAACTTAAAATTGCAATGTTTTTGGACCAGAACTAGAAATAAATTTTGAAAAACAACCAGAAAAAATGAATGGATGCGCGTGATTTGTTGTATAAATATGAAATTTTTTGTTTTTGTTTTGTTTTGTTTAGTTTTTTCAACGAATTTTTTCACTCATAAGCTTTATCTGATGAACATCATGATGGAGAGGATTCGAGAAATTTCTTCTTCTTTTTTTTCGATATGAAAAATTTATTATGTTTTGAAAAACCCACACACACACACAATACTTTTCGAACTTTCAAAATAACATTTTTGGTTGACATTTTTTGAAAAAAAACTGTTTTCTGTTCCAAAGTGTTAAATTTTTCAATGATATTTGTGTTTTTTTCTTCTTCTTGATTTTCTTCTTCATTCGATCTTGCATTTCTCATCAATTTATAATCAAAAAACAACAAGAAGGAAAAGCACCGGATATTAACACTTATGAACATTTAAGACACATTTTTTTTTAACATGACAATTCTATGTTCGTGTTGTTCGCTGTTGTTGTTTTTCATGTTTGTTTTTCGTGTTATAAAATATACCTGATCAATCAATATCAAGGAATCTGAATTAATTAAAATCAAGTGGGGAAAAAGCTTTTGTTTCTCTCTCTCTCTTCCTCATTAAAAGTAAATAAATAGCTTATCATCATCATTTTGTTTGCTTTTGGATTTTGTTTTTGCCATTTTCGTTTTTAAATTTGAAATTTTATTTTTCTAATTAAAATTTTTTCAAAGAAACATTTTCTGTTTTTCTCGTTTCAATAGATTTTTTTCATATTCAAATGACAACGACATTTTAATTAACGTTTGTTTTGAAGAATTATGTGAACAACCAACCAACCAACCAACCATCCATCATCACTCATCAATTGAAATAATAATTTTTTTTCTTCATTAAATACGTGAAAATTTCCGAGAAAGTTCCCGGGAAAATCATTCTCATAAAAAAATGGCCGATTTTTATCATGATAGCCTTATGCATAATCTAAGTCATCATATTTATCAACAACAACAACAAGATCCATCAATAATCGATCCAACAACAACAGCAACAGCAGCCATAATGCTGAACGATGAACGTGAATGTTTTAATGTAACCGAATTGGAAGCCGTACCAAATCGTTTAGGACAATGGTTTTTAATATCTTTGTATTCACTGACATCATTATTAGCTTTGATTGGAAATTTAACAGTCATTATTGTCGAATTATATGGTAAAGAATCGGCGCATAATATACGAAAATATCTCATAAATTTGGCTGTATCTGATATTACGATCGGTGTCCTATGTGTACCATTTACATATACAGATTTTATGCTTGGACAATGGATATTTCCACATTGGTTATGTCCAACAGCACAATTTGTACAATTATTAAGTGTTTTTGTTACATCTCTAACATTAACATTTATCGGTATTGAAAGGTATGTTTTGTTTGATTATATTCTTCTTTTCTTAAAATGTCAACTTTTTGGAAACTGAAAAAAAAAACAAACAAACTCTATTTTTAGAAAAGAAAATAACAAAATTTTCAATGGTAGGTGTAGGTGTAGCTGATATGCAAAGATTTCATTTCAATGAAATTCATTAATTTTTCATTAGGAAAAAAGGTTTTTTTCTTTTTTTGAATTTTTCAACTTTTGGTTTCCTTTGATTTAATGAGAAAAGAAAGAAACTCTTGTTTCTTTCTTTCAATCTAATTAATATCACCGACATGATTTGTTTGGTGTTTGGTCGGTGTTTGGGTTTTTTTATCTGGGTAAAAGTAATTGTGTGTGTGTGTGTGCGGCCGTGGCTGCTTCGGTGAAACCAAACGAAATGAAAAAAAAAGATTAAGAGAAAGTTTTCGGAAAGTTTTTTTTCCCAGAAAAAAAAGCAAAGCGAAAAATTCATCATTAGAAAAAAAGGAGTGTTATTGAGGGTGGATGGAAGAGGAAGACAAAAAAAATATTGATTCCCCAATTATAATTCCATATCTGATTCGGAGATTTTTTTTTGAAATCAATCGAAATTTTTTTCATCAAAATCAAATAATAATGAAGATGTATAATATCCGAATTGAAGAATCCAAAGAATCCAAGAATCCAGAGAATCCACGAACCAAAGAATCCAAGAATATGAATTTCAATGATAAAAAGCAAAACAAGAAAAATTGAAACCCATATCATTATCATTATCGTGATTAATCGTTTGTTTGTGTTTGTTTGATGATGACCGTGGTTGTTTTAATTTCGTATTTTTTGGTTTGTTTCCAAAAGTGTTAATTTCTGTTTGTTTGTTTGATGAAAATCATTGTTTTTTCATCAGCAATAAATATTGCTGAATGATTAATTTGGTCAATCAATAACCGATTATCGATTATTGATTATTGCTTCGTTGTTGGTCGTTTGGTTGATTTCATTGGAATTTCCATTAAAAAAGTAAATAAATCTTGTAAAAGATATTTGAAAATGATAATTACGTCATTTATGAACAGTGTAAATATTGTTTTTCTTTCCCGTCCGTAAATATTAATTGGATCGAAATAGAGGAGAGAAAAACATCATCGCCAACAACCATTATCAATTTCCTAGGAATTCGGTACAAGATTAACAAAAAAACTACAAACAAACTAACAAAATGTACAATTTTTCTGTTTGTTTGCTTGGGTTTTGGGAAAGAATCATCACACTGACAATGAAATTAATCTCGAATCGAATTGAAAGTTTGGGATTTTTTCTTCGATTCTAAAGATTCGATTCTGCTTATTCTGTTTATTATAAATTCCAAACGCTAATTATTTTGTTATTCTTTTTTTTCCGGCGAAAAATTCGTTGGCCGGTGTATACAGTGTGGGTATCAATCTAATTTTATATCCGAGGATATTGTCTTTTTATTTTGGTCTTTCGAAACTAATCTTACGATGTTGACAATTTTTTTTTTGTTAAACCCCCAAAAATTCATCATTCTTCAAAATGATTAGGATGACAAATTTTCCTACCATCCTTATCATTTTTTCTTCCCAAAAAAAAAAATCTGTTGTTGATAGAAAAGAAATGATGCTAATAATAATAAGAATAAATTACAATTTTGTTACAAAAAAAAACTTACCGAAGGAGAAAAAATTTTCCGGAAATGTTTCCCACAATAATGTTTCTCAGAAACAATGTTTCCCAGAAAGAATTTCTTCATCAAATCTTATGAATCAATGTGAACAGAAACAAACTATAATAATGTTCATCATCATCAATGATGAATGATGATAATCAATATCATTATCATCATCATCAATATTAGAGTTGATTAATTTTTCTTTCATCATCATCATCATCATCGTAGTCGTCGTCGTCGTCGTCATTTGGTTCTTGGAAAAGTTTTCGTGGCAAAAAATAATGACAGCAGCTGGTGATGATGATCGTCATCATTTTGGTGAATATAATGATGATCAAGATAAACTTTTATATAAAGCCAAATTCTCAATCAGAAACAAAACAAAACAACAATCGTTTGTCTACGATAAAATAATTAAGATGCTTGAAATGGTTGTTGTCGACAATGATGATGACGATGTTGATGATGGATTATTCTTTTTTTTTGCTTAAGAATTGCTTAAGCTTATTTTCTTCTTTTCATTAATTCTTTTTTTTTTGTCCAAACCGATCTGTTATTTGGAATGTTATTTTTACATTGCAAATTTTTTTTCTGGCTGTCTGTCTGTCTGGCGATTCTGTGACGTTCGAATCGATTCTTTGACAATCGATTGTTGTTGTCTGTCTATTTTTATCCATAATGAATGGATATGTCGAAATAGATTCGAACAAATTGACAATCATCAAAATGATTATGTTTTGCTCACGAATTATAATGATTATTATTTGTTATTGTTCGAAAAAGATGATCAAAAAAAAAGAGATCAAAAATTATTCCAAAAAAAAAGAATAATATTCTGTTTCTCTCTCGTAATTCCAGAATATTCTCTTTTGACTTTTCATCTTTTCAAACGACGATAATTGTCAGTTTTCATCACCAATTATCCATCTATAGATTTCCAATGACAAAGTGATGATGATGATGATGATAGGTTTGTGTAGATTCTGGCTGACTTTTTCCTTTCAGCATTTTCTATATCAATCTTGATCTTTGAAGGAAAAAAAGAAGAAGAATAATAAAAAAAACGGTGTACGAACAAAAGCAAACAAAAGCCTTTTCCAGTTTTTTTCTTTCTTTTTCTTTTTCGTTGTTGTCTTTTGAAACGTGATCTGCTTACCCAAAAAAAAAATGATAAAAACATATGGTGTAAATGAAGAATATTGTTGTTGTTCTGTTTTCCTTGGAAAATATTTTGATTCAACTTTCGTTTTTATACTAATGATGGTGGTTGTGTAATAATAGCCGTCGGTGACAAACACAAATAACGATGATTACCAGAATCGAGACAAAGAAGAGAAAAAAATAGCCCGTATAGTTTTTCAATCGATTAAATCGTGTTGCAAAACTACATCGACTATTTACACCCGGTGTCCATCTCAACAAATATTGTGTGACACAAAAAAAACACTTTCAAAGAATTTTTTTTTCGCAGCTTTTTCATTCGATTCCGGTAGCAACGGAGAAAAAAAAATTACCCAAAAGAATTTAAGTGGAAAAATCAATATTTTTCCGCTTCGTGGAAGAATGAAAAAATACTATTTTAACCCGCGAATGTCGAACGATTTTGTTCGTTTGTTTTTCCCAAGAATTTCCAATTCGATTTTTGTTTGTTTTTGTTGTCGATTGTCCCTGAAATTCCCTTATCTTGGTGATATATTTTTTTTTACTTTACTTCGCTTTATCTATCATCCATATGATTTTCAATGAAAATAATAATGAAAAAAAAATCAAACAAAGAAGATAGTTGGTTACGCAACAAAACACCAAAAAAATCAAACAACATTCAATCAATTTTCATCAATGTCAAAATAGTCGAATATTATTGTGATTTTGTGATTTTCAATTCATCCAAATCGGATATGAATTTATTTTGAAAAAATTCAATTCAAATCCACCCACATAACACACAAGAATCAAGAATCAAGAATTTCAAGGATTTTCTTCTATTTGATCGATAGAAAAAATGAGCAGAAATCCACCCACACACACACAGATTATTTGAATGACCAGTATTTGAATAAGTTTATTTACATTTGGGGAAAATAAGAGATGAACGACTTGATTTATTTTTATTTTTATTTCTAAAAATATCGATATAATCGATTTTTTTTGTTTGTTTCTCGATAATCCCGGATGATTGAAATCAAATAAAGGATATCCGTCATATATGAATGGATCAATTCGAATGTTGATTTCGAATGATTCGAATGTTGATTCGATTGTTTCGAATAATCCTTGTTGAAATATTTTTCATTTTCATTTATTTCATTTTTTCATGTTTTTTTCCAGTTTTTTTCAGTTTTTATTAATACTTTTTCATCAAGCGTGGGTGGAAACTAATACATTTTTTTCCAGCAAAAAATCGCATTCGTTTGATACATTCTGATTTGCGTGATTGGAATTGCAAGTTTCTTCTTAAAATTTAAACATATTTTTTTGTGGGTTTGTTTCTGATTGATTTCTGATTCTGTGAAATTTCTGTTGTTGGTGGCAGTGATTTTTGATTTTATTTTTTCTGTTATTTTGTGATTCGAAAATAACCAAGAAAAACCCTTTTTCGGTCAGGTTTCAATTTACAAAATGCAAGAAATCAAGAATCAAATATAAACACTGTGTATATACATTCATTTATGGTTGAATAGTTTTTGTTATTTTTTGTAAAAGATTTTTTTCATCAGTTTCTCCGCCTATTCAAAGAATCTTTTTTTTGTGTGTTTGTTTTTATCCTGCAGGATTCAATGTCAAGAAAAGATTTTTCTGATCATAACAAAAAAGCCTGTTTTTCCACCCACCCGCAAAATCGATTTCAATCAATTTTTTATATAATCACTTGGTTCTACTACTGGATTTACATAACAAAAAGTCTATAATCGCTAGCGAAAAAAACCTGAGCCAAAAGTTTTCGATTTTCCATTTCGTTATGGTCGATTTATTTTGATTAATCTTACCCGGGTTTTTTTCACTTTTTGTTTTCACTTTCTCAAACATTTGATTTGATTTAATTTTTTTTTGTTTACAAATTTAAATGAAAATCAATTTCTTTATCTCTGCTTTCTCTCTCTCTCTCCCTCTCTTCGTTCGTCATTTATTGATTTTCAATTTTTTTTTTACAAAATTTTTTGCTTCCATTTATGGCAGTGAAGCTTACATTTTACTTAACCAAAAATGCGAATGTTTGTTTCACATTCGTTTTGTTTTATCTTTTTTTTTTTTGTTTCGTGATAATGGATGTACATTTTTGTTTACAACTGTATTCGAATATCATATTTATTTTCTTGGAAATAATAAAAGAAACAACAACAACAACAACAACAGAAAGCGACAACAACAACAACAATAAGCGACAACAACAA